AATTCATACGATTTCAATGCATATATAATACGAACGTAGAGGTATAGTGAGTTTGATATATATATATATATATATATATATATATATCTATATATATATATATAATATATATAATATATATATATATATGTCTTAGAAGTAAATCAAATTATGTAACATGAAGATAATGATGGAATTTATAAAAATCTGAGAAGTAAATCAAATTAGGAGTTGAATTTTAAGAACATTTGACAATTACAATGCATAGTATGATGAATTTGAGTACCCAATCTTATATAATTTTAACGCTATATTCACTTTGAATGTATGCGCAAAGTGAATATACCCTTAAAGTTATATAAGATTAGGTAGCGAAACTCACCATACAACTACGTTTCGTATTATATATGCATTGTAATTAAGTTTATATATATATATATATATATATATATAATATATATATATATCTATATATATATAGTTGTGATCTTTTACGAACCAATATATCCCCGTAAATTTTTCGTGTGATTTAAAAAAAAAGTGAGTAAAGACATTAAATCGGTCATATAGAAGTTTATTCGCAAAAAAAATTATCAAAAATTATGAACATATGAAAAATGCATAAATTAACAAACGTCGAAAATGCATATGTTCATCAAAATTAACCTTCATACGTGTATATTTTTTTCGCCTTCTTTTTTGCCAAAGCACTTATATATGACCAACTTAATGCCTTAAGTCATTTTTTTAAACAAAAACACCATACGAAAATGTTCATAGGTTTCGCGGGAATCTTTGGATTTGAAACAAATTAAATATATATAATTATATAATATATAGATATATATATATATATATATATATATATATAATAATATATATATATTATATATGGAAAAATTATTTGGAAAATAAAAAACCATAAAAATCATAAAAATACATAAAAAATATTTATACATCACAATTTTTTTATACTTTTTTTACCAAAAAATCCCAGGTGTTTTTGAAAATTCACTGAAAAAAATTATTAAAAAATCAATTTATTTTTTGGTTTTTGTTTTTCAAAAAAAATTTCAGCGAATTTATTGAAAGTGTAGCAATTTATATATATATATAAAATCAAAAAAATATTTGTGACTTTAAAAGTTTATAATAATAATAATAATAATAATAATAATAATAATAATAATAATAATAATAATAATAATAATGATGATGATGATGATGATGATGATGATGATGATGATTATGATGATTTTTATAATATTAGTAGTAGTAGTAGTAGTAATAATAATAATAATAATAATAATAATAATAATAATATTCAAAATAATTAAAATAACAATTCAAGTAAGGGTAAATCCGAACATTTTTGATAACTTAAGGGTAAATCCGAATATTTTTTAAAATTCAAGGGCTTTACTGGTATTTGGTAACCCACAAGTTACCTAGAAACCAGCTAAAAGAGTATAAATGAACAAATTAAACAAATATTCCATTTTACTGGATCTAAAACACGTTTAAGGTTAAAACCAATATTTTTGTGAAAATTTAAGGCTTTTATGTCATTTTCCATATATATATATATATATATTATATATATATATATATATATATATATATATATATATATATAGTTAGGATCAAATGTGAATCATAAGTATTATGTGAAGGTATGACCAAATTATGACCATTAGATTAAAAAGAGTGTAGAGTTATGATCTTAAGTACATGTTTTTAACATGGGCTAGCGTTTACTCTATAATTACATGCAAATAATTATAAGGGCATTTATAATATTTTATTATGAGAGAGAAATAAAAATTACTTATATTTTAGGCAAATTAATTAATAAAAATCAAAATTGAAAAGTTAACTTTTTTTTTTTTTTTTTAAATTTACGGTTGTAAATTTATGTTTTTATGATTCTCATTCTTAAAGAATAAATTTATACTGGCATAATGCTATTTAAAAAATTAATTATTTTCTATTTTTAAATATTTTATAAGGTTAAATTTTACACTTTATTCAACAACAATTTAAGAAATTACTGGTATTCAGTAATTTCGTTTCATAACATCCATTCTTATTAAATCCTTTTTTCCACCATCAAAATTACTAAAGAATTTCATAAATAAAAATGTTGAGTAGTTGTATATACGTGACAAAAAAATGGCTTATTTGTTTGTATTATTTAAGAATACACTAATTAAGTTATCAATAGTTTTATTATTTAAGAATAAAAAGGTTCAAAACTTGTCTCTAGTTTCTGTTAATAAAGAAATATGTATGCATCTTTGGTTATCAATGACCATAAACGTAACTAAAAAAAGGTTTTTGATTTATATTTTTTGAGAATACGACGAATGCTTTATAAGTAGTAGTCATATTCTTTAAAAATGGAATAGTTGAAAGAGAGTTTCTAATTTGCATTCTTAAAGAATTACTTATGAATTCTACAAAAAAATTTAAAAAATTTTAAATGTACTGACTAAGTATAAATAGTTGAAAATGAGAATACGGTGATTAGGTTTTTAATTTGAATTCTTTAAGAATGATTAGAATTACATGTAAGCATGTTCTTCAAGAATAAAATGGTTAGAATGTGAGTTTTTAATCTCTATTCTTAAAGAATTGAGTTTTAATATGTATTCTTTAAAAATAAAATGGTTATATGTTTGCGCATTGTTTTATCTTCTTTCAACATAGTGTAAACACAAATATTTAGACAAAATCTTGGTTGAGTTTATTCAGTACATGATTGAAAAAAGAAAGAAAAATATACTAAGGAGGACCTGGACAAACTCAAAATCATTACAATAAAAGAAAAAGAGATGGATATGATATTCTGGTTTGCGATTTAAAAAAAGGACGATGATCTCTTGGTAACTGTGATTAAATAAAACATGCAGATGATCTCCCAGTGACGATGCTCAGAATGGTGTTGGATGATGTCAATGTGAGAAGATAGATGAATGTCGACGACGTTAACTAGTGGTGATATAGATTTGTTGTTTGTTGATGGCGAGGGTTGTGGCCGACGGCGATGGTGTATGTTTGGAGAAGATGATGGGTGCTACTTCTTTGAACGTATAGGGTAAAATGGATGGTGATAATTAATTACACGAATTCCATAATTACACGAATTTAAATTTATGAATAATTAATTCAATTAATAAAATTTATATGTTATCCTTATTAAATGTAATTATATAGTATATGCAAGTCCATGTAAATAAGATGTACCCTGAGATCACAACATTCCATTCTTTTAATCTAATGGTTAAAATTTGGTCATACATTCATACAATAATTATGGATTATATATGAACCTAATTCTCTCTTTCTTTCTCTCTCTCTCTCTCTCTCTATATATATATATATATATATATATATATATATATATATAGAGAGAGAGAGAGAGAGAGAGAGTGAGGTAGGTTCCGTTGAGATTAAAAATAAAATAGAGATCTCAAGATTCAACCTCAGCCATGTATTTCACATCTGCTGCTCAAACCCTTCGGCGTACTGGCGGGACATGTCTGGTGTAATCATAAATGATTACACAGTGCCACCTGTTCATTTCTCCTTCGCCACCGTCCCCACCACCGAAACCGCCACCACCACCACCATTACCACCACTTCTGACATCAGTCGACCCCACCATTGTCACCTCCATTACTTATACCACCGACAACTCTGTCACTACACCTTTTCTGCGACTAACTGTAATAATCTATTATGATTACTCAATCTGTGAACAAACATATATGTGTAATCATTTATAATTATGAATATACGTATAAACATGTATAATCTTATATGATTATGCCTTTCTGCCATATAATAATTTATTATTAGGCATACATCGTTGCTGCTGGCACGCTGGAGCATTAGAGCGGCAAATACGAAATATGTGGTTGATGTTTAATCTCAAGATCTCTACTTTTTTTTTTATTATTATTTTTTATTTTTTATTTCAAGTGAACCGTCCATATATATATATATATATATATATATATATATATATATATATATATATATATATATATATATATATATATATATATATATATTATAACATGTGCCTTATATGCACCCATAACAAAACATTAATTATGAAAAATATTATCATAAATATGAAATGCTTTAAATAGAGAGCATATTAATGTATTTTACATATTATTATGATAATATTTTTTATAATTAATATATTTCACATGTAATTATGAAAATATTTTGTTTCAAATAAGGTTTGAATCCTTAATTTATTTATGAGATACATATTTCTACCATTGGCGTGTTTAATTTTCAAACAATTTTCATATTTTTTATAATTAATGTATTTCACGTTTTATTATGAAAATATTTTGTTTCAAACAAGGTTTAAACCCTTAATTTATTAATGAGATACAAAGCGGAGATACGTAATTGATTTGTTCTTTTACAACATTATCGTGAATTTCAAATAACAAAAATATAAATACAATATTAGTGGGTATAAACTTAAACTATATTGTCCTCTCATCTCATGTCTCGATATTTTGGTTATAAAAAACAAAGATTCCTTTAAATCAACCAAAGTTGTTTCTAGAAAGTCTCTTATCAACAACAAGTGACCAAAATCACCATAGTACTTACTACTACTACTACTACAAAGCTTATTACTTTTATTAGATTTACAAAACCAAAATGATGATTATAAATCCCTAGAAATAGAAATGAGAATGATGAATGACAGCTGTTGACTTGGTCTGTTTATTAAAACATTATATAACCACATAAAGAAATTATTAAAGTCATCATAAATACAAGAAAGTCAAAAGGGTAGGAGAATGCTGAAGCCTAGGCCTTAAAAAAAGCCCTTGCCTTTTTGCAGCAATTCTCAAGAATCCAAAGAGCAAAAATCAAAGTACCTCAACGCTCAACTCTCTTTCTTTTTTCCCCTTTTTCAAGGGACGGTTACAAAGTCCACAAGAAAACCTAAAACCCTTCTTCACACTCGATACACACACATCTAATTTTAGTATCTGTGTGTTCATATTTCCTATTTAATCATCCCCAATTTCATTTCGTGTTGTGCTTTGCTTTCTTCTGAATTTGGAAGATTTGCGATCGGTAAGTTCAAATTCAGAATTACCCATTCGCTGATTTTTCAAGAAATGGTGAAGATTTTGATTTGGGGTTGTTTTTATGTTGATCGACAGAAATTTTTGTTTATTTTTTTTTTTTTTTTCTGATTTTGTTGATGTTTTGATTACTTACAGATATCGAAATTGAAGGGGTTTTTTGTTAAGAAAAGTGGTTGATGTCAAGTTGTAGATTCAGGTGTTGAAGGTGGCTGAATTACTCCATGGGTAATTTATGCTGCAATTCCGTTTCAAAGGTGAAAATCGTTAATCCTTTTTATATAATTTGCTTTCAATTTCATGTTTTTAAGTAAAATTATGAATTTTATATGTTAAATTCGTGTCATAATAAGCAAATTAAGTAAATTGGGTGTGGAAATTGCTATCGTATGCTATAGTAATTGATCATCAAAAATTGTGCTTCCTTTCTATTTCTTTCTATTTCGTTTACGGTTTTTTTAATTGTTTATCAAATTATAATTTTCAATTAGGGTTTCTGTCAACCATTTTAGGATCCAGAAGTGTGAGAGTCGGGGAGTGAGTATTTGTATATAACTTTTGTTTAATTTCATTTTTAGAAATCCCACAAACATTTTTAGCGTTCTTTATAAAGCTAAAACTACATCTTTGCCTATTATTATCATGATAAAGAATTGGTATCCATTTTTGCGTACAAGATTCCCCTAATTTCCTATATTTGAAGATTATTTTCTACATTTTGACTGATTTATGAACTATGAAGTATCTATCAAAGTCAAACCTTTATAAGATGGAGGTTTGTAAGAATTGAACCCTAAAAAATGTTGCCGAGTTTAATTCTATTTGTATACCATTTTGGGATTTATCAAATCTTGGAAACGTGTTTTTCGGGTGACAAATTGTTCATTATCCAATTTTCTTCGTGTATAAATTGCGTCATCAATTTTATAAATTTTGTTCCAATTATTGAGCCACCATTGTGAAATCCTTTATAGTGAGATCATATCAATTGTCGTTTTCGATTAACAAGATCACGTTGGTTGGCCGCTATTTTGTTGCATTTGTATTTTATTTTTTTTTTAAATTTATAATATGGTCAAACTTTTGTCGCAAATCTACGTATAGTGTGTGATCTTTACAAAATGAAAATAATTTTGTTTATAAAGCCTAACTATGACTATTAGTCTAAACGTATATGTGTTTAGTAAGCTATATATAAGTGTTTCTTTCTTACTTAATACAGAAAGAATGACTTATCATAAATAGTCATGGAATTGAAGCCTTCCTTCAGAAGTCCTAACTTATTAAAAATTTATCATCATTTACTTTTTCCTTCCATTTTGTTTCAAATATTTTTCTTAAACATCAAAGTCTAAGAAATAATGGATTGTCAAATATATAACCTTTATCTAGAAATTTTACCAAGAAAAGTAAATTTATGAATTTGTACTCCCTTCATCCTATTTAAGTTTGAGTTTTTTACTAGATACGTCTTAAAAGAGAATTATTTGTTTACTAATCAAATGTTTTGAACAACCTTAACAAAGGCAACAAAGATTCTTTTTTGATCCAAATAAAATATAAAATAGGGCTTAATGCTTGTTTACGCAACGACGTTTCACCTTTTTCCACTTTATGCAAAAGAGTAGTTTTTACTTGTAACGTATTTCATTAAAGCACACTTACATTATTCTAAATCGGTGGAAAAATGTTACCTTGTTACATTACTTTGCAAAATAGTGAAACATTATTACATATATAAACATTTAAGGTAATTGATTTTGGTTACAAGGTTGCATATTTTGGTCTTATAACAAAAAGTGATTGCATTTTTTGTTTAAAACCACCACTTTATTACATAAATTAAGAAAAAAAAGTGAATCACCATTGCATAAACAACCATTTAACTTATATAAAATTGTTAATCAATAGCTCATAATTGGCATATTGGTTTATCAACTACAAAGAATGTTATATTCTCATGGAATATCTCTATACACACACTATAGTGTAACTAATTCCAACATTCCAAATGAAAAACATCCAAAGATGTACACAATGTTATTTTTATTTTCCAATTTCCGTTTTCCATATAATTATTATACTACCTAAAGAGTTATAATTTGTTATCAAGATGCATTAATTTGGCCTATTTAGGACTTTATTTAGATTGATAGGTCTAATTTTTCTTTCATAACAAACAAAAAGTAAACAAAATGTTTTGTCTTTCTTAGTTTGCAGGCGGCCAATCATCACATGGCACGGGTAAGGGGCGGGGCCACCAAGGATCCATCAAATATGGATTCAACTTAGCTAAAGGGAAAGCTAATCATCCAATGGAAGATTACCATGTGGCAAAATTTATTCCTCATCAAGGACATGAAATTGGACTATTTGCTATATACGATGGACATTTGGGAGATAGTGTGCCTGTGTATCTTCAAAAGCATTTATTCTCCAATATCCTAAAGGAGGTTAACTTTTATCACTACTCATTATTCCAAATTTGAAATATTCCGAGTTAAAATTACCTTTTTGCCCATTATCATCGTTATAAATGAACTTGATGGTTTTGATTTTGGATCCATGAGATCCTTTTATTTGTCTTTAAAAAACATTTTGCTTAAACTATGGGACATAACAAGCGTTTTTCTTTGGGCTATGATCGATGACAAACTAGGAGGGCATTAATGTCTTTTAAACACATGTGAAATTTAGAGCAAAGTTTTTGTCCCACTTTTTTGAATTGGACAAAAAATTAAAAATCTTTGTCCATTGACATGAGTGTACTTTCAGTCTGATGCATACCAAACACAACACAACTAAAAGGGCATTAATGTCTTTTCAACACATGAAATTTAGAGCAAATCTTTGTCCCACTTTTTTGAAATGGACAAAAAATTAGAAATCTTTGTTCCACTAACACAAGTGTACTTTCAGTCCGGTGCATGTCAAACACAGTACAACTACAAGGGCATTAATGTCTTTTCAACACACATGAAATTTAGAGCAAGTCTTTGTCCTACCTTTTTGAATTAAACAAAAAAAGTAAAAATCTTTGTTCCATCGACACGAGTGTACTTTCAGTCAGATACATGTCAAACACAGTACAAGCTGTCCTGTCCGGTCATATCGTGTCATGTCATGTCATGCTCTGTTCTGTTTTACTTTTCTAAACAAATGGAGCCAATTCCAACTAAATCTTTTTAGGGGAATTAAACATCTAACTTTTGAAGAACTTCATCATGATTCAATCTTTTTTGTGTATTTTTTGTAGGGTGAATTTTGGACAGATCCTAGTAGGGCAATTTTGAAAGCGTATGAAAGAACAGACGAATTGATTCTTTCTCATAGTCCTGATTTGGGAAGAGGCGGATCGACTGCAGTCACTGCACTTTTAATTGATGGTAGAAAATTATGGGTGGCAAATGTTGGAGATTCTCGGGCAGTTCTTTCAAAAAAAGGGCAGGCCATTCAAATGAGTGTTGATCATGAACCCAATACTGAAAGGGGCAGCATTGAAAACCGTGGAGGTTTTGTCTCCAACATGCCAGGTCATCAATCTTTCCTATTATATCCAAAAAAACAGCATCTTTCCTATTATAGTAACATTAACTTGATTGTGCTAATCAATTTTTATTGCTATAGTTGGGCATGATTTTCAAAGTATAATGTTTTCATATGATTCTTAAAACATAATCAAACAGAAAAGTTTTGATTTTTCTTTTATATTTTGCCCAAATTAACGGAATTGCCCTTAAATTTTTTTTTTTTTTGAGTAAATTAAACGAATGGTCCCTATGGTTTAGGGGTAATTTGCGCGTTTGGTCCCTAACTTTTTTTTTTTTTAACTCAGAATGTCCCTATTGTTTGTTTTTGTTACGCACTTGGTCCCTGTCTTACCTAAAAAGACTATTTTGCCATTGATTTTTTAATTTATTTAAATAAACACACCCCAACCCCACCCCCTCACCTTACCTTACCTACCCAATTTTTCCCTATTTAAATAATACTAGTATGATTTTAGGTAAGATAGGGATCAATCGCGTAACAAAAACAAACTGTTGGGACCTCTCAAGTTAAAAAAATAAGTTAGGGACCAAGCGCTCAAATCATCCCAAACCTTGGGGACCATTCGTGTAATTTACTCTTTTTTTTTTTTTCAACAGACAATGACAGATTGTCGTATAAAACAAAAATATCGGGACTTTATTAGAGATTTCCCTTATTTGCATAGTCTTTTGTTACCATATTTATATTGTTTCATTTCTATAATTTCACATCCTTTTTGATAAACTTCAAACAATATGCACAACTTTTCCCTGATCTTCTTGGTGAATTCTATCTAAACATGATCCAATTTGTTACAAATAATTGTTTTTTTCTTCGTCTTTTGAGATATAACAAAAAGTTTACTTTTTGGTTGAATATATATATTGAAATATAAATTGATAAAATATTTGATATAACAGGAGATGTAGCAAGAGTAAATGGACAACTAGCAGTTTCACGTGCTTTTGGGGACAAAAATCTCAAGAATCATTTACGTTCAGATCCTGATGTAACAAATGCTGATATTGATGCAACTACAGAGATTCTCATTCTTGCTAGTGATGGATTATGGAAGGTAATTTTTTTATTTTTTTTAATCATGAAAATGGTAAATTAATTCATTCGGTTAAATGCAAGAAATAGCAACATACGTTCATTAACATTGTTGTTTCAATCTTTTTTATATTAGATTTAGAATTCTGCTTTTATCTTTTTCATCAGAGGACATTTTGGGAAATTCTATGAAATTATACAAGTAAAGAAATCAATGAATAGTATGTTGCTATTATATATAAATAGGGTAGATTTTTTAATGTTGTAATAGGAAAAAATGAAAGTTGTATGCTATAACCTCGAATTTATTTTTGATCCTGAAAAACACCTTGTATTTTTTCATTTTTCCCAAAAAAGCCCTCAACTTTGTATTTTTTTTTTTTTTTCTGAAAAAAACCCTCAACCTTCTAAATGCTTCCAAATAAACCCTCAACCTTTTTAGTTTTTCTCAAAAAAACCCTCACATTTTACAAATTGTTTTTGGAAAAAAAAAAGACTAAAAGGGCCAGATTGGAAAAAATGGCAAAATACTAGGTCTTTTTCAGACAAAAAATAAATTTGAGGTTTAATTCAGAAAAACCACAAAATATAAGGTCTTTTTTTATTTTTATTTTTATTTTTATTTTTGAGATTAACCCTTTATTCAATGAAAGTACATTGCTATTTCTTAAGAAACATTGTTCTTTAAAATAATTTCTTTACTATTTGGATAACATTGCTATACCTCACTTAATCTTCCCAAAACAAAACATTATTATAAAAACTAATGAAAATTCGATGCCATAATAAAGACAATAACATAAGTATATTCCTTTTCTTTCACATCAAAACCAAGTTAGATATTTATAAAAGTCAAACAAATGATTCTAAAGTCAAAGATGCTCTAATTTCTACTTAACTTTTTCAGGTTATGACAAATCAAGAGGCAATTGACATAGCAATGAAGATCAAAGATCCACAGAAGGCATCAAAGGCACTAGTAGCAGAAGCCTTGAATAGAGAAAGCAAAGATGATATTTCATGCATTGTGGTTCGTTTTAGCTGAAGAAAAGTATAGCTTCAAGGGGTGGTACTATGTGCAGTATAAGGTGTACATTTGGAGGGGTTTAAGTTTGTGAGTTGCAACTCAAATAGAGTGAAAAAAGTTCCGAAATTTGGGCATAAAAAAAAGGTAGGTAAGTTATATATATATATATATATATATATATATATATATATATATATATATATATATATATATATATATATATATATATATATATATATAATTATAAAATATATGACTCATCCCTGGTTTTCTTTTTAAGAAGTTGAAGTTATTGTACTCAGGATTGTGAGGTTTGTTATTGTTTAATTTCTTGAATGCTTTAGAATATATATATATTATTATACACAATCTGTTTTTGTGTGATTTGATTTTTGTTTTTCTTGTTGATGGGTATGAACTACCAAAATGTTTAAAAAGATTATCTTTTAAGATGAAGTATTTTTGAAATATGGTTTGACTAAGACTAATTAAGTCGTTTTTTTGGAGATTTAATGATTCTTTATATTTATCAAGATGATTTGAACTTTTGATTTACTCATGATCTTTGATTGGAAATGTATTTACGACTTTAAATTGTAAATGAAGGAATTGGTTTTGGTGGAAATCATAATTGAAATTGATGAATGTTGCGATGTATTGAGAAGATGAGGGTGACAAAAGATTGGAGAAATAATCACAAAATTAATCAGAAGACATGGTATTAAGATATGATTATTTTTGAAGTTGGCTAAAAAGATATCGCTTAAAATATATTTATTGGTTGAAATTATATCGTTTTCCTGAAAAACTAAAATATATTTATTGGTTGAAATTATATCGTTTTCCGGAAAAACTAATTATAAGTAGTTTTATTGATTTTTTATAAAAGTGATAATAGGTTGATTATTTTTTCATAGTTAATAGGATTTATTTTGTAAAAAAAAAGAAAAAGATTATAATAAATGAAACCGTTTATGAGATTCCTATTTCGCAAAACTACTTTTCTTATGTAGTTTATGTTTTTCAACGGTTTGCAAAGTTTATTTAATATCGGGAATTTTGTTTTACTGACCATATTAGCAAAATTTGCCTACATTTAGCTTTACACAAACAATTTACTTTTGCAAAATTTGAAGATTTTGGTTATATAGCTTGCACTTTAATAGAAATCAAATCACAAAACAAAAAAGTTTAGGGCAAGGTCCATCAACCCCCCTAATCCACTTCACTACAACCTATCAACTTTTTTTATTCTTACTCCTATCTTTTTAACCCAGAATATAAATAATCCATATCCTTAAAAAAAAAAAAAAACACTTTGTATTGGATGGTGGTGGCTGGTGTGTGTGTGGGGAGGGATGGGGTGGGTGGGTGGTTGGTTGGTTTACGTGCATATAAATAGTTAGTGTTGATATCTTCCAATACTACACTATATTACACACATCTCACTAAATGGAATCATATTTTGCAATATATATATATATATATATATATATATATATATATATATATATATATATATATATATATATATATATATATATATATATATATATATATATATATGTGTGTGTGTTGGAGTACCCATTTCTTTGTGGGGATGTTAGTCATCGACTCTCATAACATGTAAGATAAAAATGATTTAGAATATTGTGTTGCATTCTCATTAATCTTTAAGATAAGTTATAGATTACAATGTAGACTTATATGCTAATACTAATATGGAAACTATATTAATCACAAATGCTAGAAAATAGGATAATATCGAATACTAATACAATACTATATAATACAAATAGAGTAAATTACACGAATGGTCCTTATGGTTTGGGGTAATTTGCATGTTTGGTCCCTAACTTATTTTTTTAACTCGAATGGTCCCTACGGTTTGTTTTTGTTACGTGCTTGGTCCCTACAGTTTGTTTTTGTTACGCACTTGGTCGCTGTCTTACCTAAAACGACTATTATTTAAATAAGAAAAAATGATGAGGTAGATAAGGTAAGGTGAGTGGGGTGGGGTTGTGGGTGTGTTTACTTAAATAAATTAAAATATCAAGGGAAAAATAGTATCTTTAGGTAAGACAGGGACTAAGCGCGTAACAAAAACAAACATTAGGGACCTTCCGAGTTAAAAAAATAATTTAGGGACCAAACACGCAAATTACCCTAAACCATAGGGACCATCCGTGTAATTTACTCATACAAATACTAATACAATACTATATAATACACCCTCCTCAGTGGAGTGGGAGTAAGACGAATGCTCAAATTAATGGTGAAATCTTGAAACACTCTTGGTTTTGAAATTTTCAAACTCTGTTGGTAAAAGTAGAAACATGATTTTTTGGATTGCAATGGATTTCAATCATTGGCCTTGAAGTTGCATTCACTTTAGGCTTGGAAAGAATCTGGAAGAGAAAACACTCTTTGATCTTTGAAGGACTTTGATGGACACTTTGGGCTTTGATGTGTATTGATATCGACTCTAGAACAGATATAACTTGAGAGAGAGAGAGAGAGAGAGAGAGAGAGAGAGAGAGAGAGAGAGAGAGAGAGAGAGAGAGAGAGAATGAGCGGTCGTATAAGAAGATTTAGATCATAAAAACCCTATGTCTTAGAAAAGATCATTTGGAAATAGAATTTAAATGAAATTAATGGTTGTGGTTTTGTAGTTTTAATACTTTTAGAAGGTGGTAAATAGCCAATAGGTGTTAAAAAGAAAACATTGGACAAAAACATACCAAAAAGACTTAAAAGAAAAGATGGAAATAGATAAATTTTTGAATAAAATGACATTTGTTGGAACTAAGATGGTATTAATGATATATATATATATATATATATATATATATATATATATATATATATATATATATATTGTTAGGAATGATTTATGGTTTATACTTTATTTTTTATGACTTTTAGAGTTCTCGGTCTAGGACTGAAAACACCATGTTCTCGGTGGCGTTTGGGCTGAAATCCCCATATGATTTCGGTGGGCTTAATGAGGATTTCGGTTGGGTTTTGGGCTGGGCTTTTGTAATTAGGTCTAGGTATATATATTATTGTGTCAGCCGTGTAAAAGGTTGGTCATTCTAAGAAGTTGAGATCGAGTTTAGGGAGAAATAGAGAACCGAGAGAGTAATTGAGAATCTTATGTACTAGACTATTGTTCAATATAGTGTGCATTAAAGATTCGTTAACTGTGTTCTTAATTCAATATAACCAGTTTGCATTAATCATTGGATTGGGATTCCGCACAAATTCTAGTGATTTCGATTGATACTATAGATCGGGTTTTACATCTGGTATCGGAGCAAAGATTGGTATCAATCGAATTGGCTAAATATTAACCGTTTCTTGAAGTTTTTCTTGGTGTTTTTAGGTTCTCTTTGACGAAAATTGTTGCTGCTTTTTTTTTTTTTTTTGTGTTCTTCACTTCATTGGAAACTTTGACTGAAATTGGTTTTGATAAATTACCAATTTCGTGTTTCCGATATTTTTCGGAGTTTTTCGGTCACGTCTGGACGCTTTTAGCGACAAACTTCAAGTTCTCGGCTAGGTCAAGTGATTTCGGTGGCTACTGGAGTTCTCGGTCAGCAACTAGGTCAAACGTCTAGTTTTCGGTCAGACAGGATTTCAGATCGAGTTTTCGATCAGCGATCTCGGCCAGCGTTTTCGGTCAAGGGTTTTTGGTCAACAATCTTGACTTTTTGACTTTTCAGTCAAACCTAGTAGTTTTCGGTTAAATCAATAATGAGCTCTTACAACAGTTCAATCTCAACTTCAGGTACCAAAGAGTTAAGTAAAACCTCATGCTCTCAATCCTGTGAAGATAAAATAAATAAATATCGTGAACATAATGAATTATTAGTTAGAGAGGTTTTTGACCTTAAAAACGAAATATATGAAATCAAGAAAATAAATAAACCACTTAAAGAAAAACTAGAAGCACAAACAAAAGATTTAAGCAGGATTAAAGAAGAGTACAACACTAAATGTGTTCACTATCAGTTTGCCAAGGAGAAAATTGCAAACTTAACAACTGAACTTGATGCATTAATGGCTAAAATTAAGGGTGCTGACTTTACTTTTAAGAAATTTGATGTGTCAAGTGAGAAAGTTGAGTCAATGATAAAAAACAATTAAAGTGGAAAGACAAACAGAGTGAGGGTCTAGGGTATCATAGTGTTCTACCTCCTTTCAATGATAACTATACTTCGCCACTTGAAACCACAGAGATAGAGACTCCTACATAATATGGCCAGCTACCCGTAACTGCCTCAGTCAAGACTGAACAATCCATCCCAACTGAGAGTATTAATGTGAGTGATTCTAATGTTTATACTTCATGTGCAGATAAAGTAACAGTGCAAGATGGGTTCGAGCAGAACAAAAATAATTCTAGTTCTGTTGAAAATGCTTCAAAAACTTGTGTTGATAATAATCTCACTATTGAAAAATTTAAGCCAAAAATTTTTGCTAAGCAGTCTAATAAATGTTCTTGTGCTTGTGGAAGGTCTTTGAAACAAACTTCATTTGGACAAGGACCAAGTCACAATCCCATTTCTTTGAAAAGACAAACTTGTTTCAACAGTTGGACTCCCGATCACATTGCTAGAAATTGCCCACATTGTTCATATGTTCCCTACTATAAACAAGGTTGGTAGAACGTGCCAAGGGGGAGATCTTCCACAAGAAATCCTTCGATGTCACTGTGACAACCCATTATTTTCAATATTGTAAAAGTCAAACTTATTGTTTTGATTTACTTATTTAAGGTTAGATTGATAAACTATATGTGTTTAAAAGCCTTTTATTAGAAGTGTAATGCCAAATCCGAGAAGTCTCGCATGGGCCGCAAACCCTCGGTTCACAGCCGGGAACCCACTTCACACCGCAAACATGCAAACTTTCCATTTTCGGTCGAGAACTCTCTTCGGATCACAAACCCTCGGTTCGCGGCCGAGAACTCCTTTCTGACCGCAAACTTCGGTCTTATCCACTTGGTACGAGAACCAATGCATGTGTTCCATCATCGATTTCGGCACTATACATATGGGGGGACCGAAAACATCTCATTACTTCTACCATTCCAGCCGAAAACACACTTTTACTCTCAAGAACATCAACCGAAAACCCATTATTCTCTCTCAACTATCATCGAAAATCCTTTGAAAATCCGTTGTATCTCCTTTGGATGTTGCTTAGAACATCAAGTGTTCTTCTTTTCATCAAGATCCTCAGCCGAAAACCCTTGAATCTCC